AAGGGCAGAAGAAGAAGGGGACGACAGAGAATTAGATGGCTGGATGGAGTCACTGAAGCAGTCAGCATGAGGTTAAATGGACTCAATGGTAGAGGACAGGAAGTCCTTGAGGAACGTTGTCTATGGGGTTGCGATGGGTTGGATGTGATTTCGCATCTAACAGCAACACCACCATTTCCAGCAAAGGGAGATTCAATAGAAGAGAAAGAATGATCTCTTAAAGATTTTTTTGGGACGTCTACAAGGCAGATAGATGAGGAAACGGGGGCTCATTTCATACATTGTGTTAAGAATTTGCATGATTTGTGGTGTTGCAAACTAGCTAACTACAGTTTAATCTAGTGTATTATGCAAACCCATTGTGTGCAATTATGATTTGGTTTGCGGTGGAACTTTCCAAATGGGTTAATTAAAACATAATTCAGTTAACCAAGGGTAAATGAGTGGCACTAAAATAGTCTTTTTCTTTGATTTAAAGGCAAATTTTGAGCCAGGTTATTGTGGTTTGTGAAGCACCGCTATAATTAATGGTTTAGCACATGTTTCAGCAATCTTAAACATTCAAAGAACCACAAAGATCCTAACTGGAACTCCCCCTCCCCGGTTCAATTCTGGAGCTGACCAGAAGTCCGGTTCCCCCACCATAGAGTCTCCTCCTAGCGCGGCATCCTTTTTCCTTTGCTGATTGGAAGTCCAGTTCCCCCACCATAGAGTCTCCTCCTAGCGTGGCATCCTTTTTCCTCTACCTGTCCTAACCGAAAGCCCTATCAATTGTGGAGCCGGCCAGCGACAGGGAGCCACAGCAGAGGGATGAAAGAGCCACATGCGGCTCCAGAGCTGCGGGTTGCTGACCCCTGGTTTATGTGTAAACCTAGTTTCTATGGTTGCTTGAAAATGGGGTTAAACAATAGCTTGGCACAATGTGTGAACCCAGCAACTTCCTGGGAAAGAATTGTAAGAGATAATTAATAGCTGAGATAGAAAATGGTTGACAAGAAACGCAACACGTTAAATTTGCCAGCATTTGCTAACATTTCCTTATCTTTCTCTAGTTTGCATTATTAGCTGTCATACTGTCAAAAGAAAAGCTCTCAAAAAGAAATTTTATTAACCTGTTTTCCATTCCCAGAAATCTTTGCTAGCATTTCTGTTAGGAAGAGAGGCTGTACGTTGTAGACCAGCAACATCTGTACAGCTGTTGGTTTCCTTCCTTAAAAAGTGAGGCAGTTCGTTATTTTTAATCAATACATATTTGTCCATTTCAGTTTTTGAATATGTGAGAATGATAGATATCATGTTAATTTTCCCCTGTATTGGTTATCTCAAGTTACTGTTTTTAATGTGGAAAGACAGCTAAACACATGCTATTAAAAATTCAAATGCATAGTTTTATTATGTATTAACAGTATTTTTATACTGTATCATCAACTTCTGGGCAACATACAAGAATGAGTTCTCTATATAATAAAATATCATAAACTCTTTACCAGCACCAAGTACATTAACTCTCCCCCCCCACTACACTAGTGACTACATAGTGACATTATCCTATTGTCCTTTTGTAAGGCAATTTAAGAAATATTTTAAAAAAGAACTTTGGAGGGGGTGTGCTGAGAGTGGGGATTTTTCAAACATAATTTAATATTCATCAACTCAAAATTCTTTCCAGGTTTTTTGGCGAACAGCTAAATTTTTACATTTAGTTGGAACAATATATTGAGATTTTGTGAACATATTTCATAGCCAAATAACATGCTCCCCTCAAGAGATTAACATTTAATTTATTTACAGTATTTGTTTCCTGTCTTTTTGAAAGTGAAAATCAAAATAATAAAGCGCAGACTCACTTTAAAGTGAATAGATTTATTGGAGAAAAAAATAAATAAGGGTCTCATGTGTAAGAGGCGGAAATATAGTCAATAACCTCAGACAAGACTATTTTCCTTTCCTTTAATTTATTCAAGAATTAGAACTAGTAAAATATAAGGAGTAGACCGATAGGAATCAAGATTTTAAAGCAGGTGTATCCATCCTTGGCAACTTTAAGACCTGTGAACTTCAACTCCCAGAATTCCCCACACTAACTAGGGAATTCTGGGAGTCGAAGTCCAGAAGACTTAAAGTTGCCTTGGCCCCATTGAGGTGAACTTCCCATATGTCCCAACAATTTGGAAAACAGCAGGATGGAAAATACTGTCTTGGAGAAGCAGATCTTTCATAATTTTATGTAATAGACGAGTATTTTTCAATTTGGCTTGAAGATGTGTGGACTTTAACTCTCAGATTTGAAGTCCATGTATCTTCAAGCCACCAAGATTGAGAACACTGTAATAGACCATCTTGGCTCCTCAGAATACTGAATGTTTGTCCTCTGCAAACACATATAGAGTTTTGCCAGCCTTGTTGTTGTTAGTTGCGAAGTCATGTCTGACCCATTGCGACCCCAAGGACAATGTTCCTTCAGGCCTTCCTGTCCTCTATCATCCTCTGGAGTCCATTTAAGCTCCAGCACCAGCCTTAGTGTGACGTTTGTTCAGACATTCATTTCTCCGCAAACAGGCTTTTCTTGCCTATGGATGAATCATGAAGCATATGATGCAAAGGTTTGTATGTTTCCTTTCATTTAGGAAAATCTGTTTTTACAAATATTGGCAGGAATGATCTGTATAATTTGATACCTTGATGTTATGATCAAGTTAGTAGACTGCCTTGGAGAATCCCAGGTACAATCCATTCATTCACAAATTATATATACAGATCTCAATCTTACACGTGAAAAGACCCGAATACAACAAGACCAGCATACCTACACCCGTGAAAATCTCATCTACACACACACACACACACACATACACACGGCTCCCAGAGTGAATCAAAAGACAGAAAAGGGAAGCAGTATGCTCCCTCCCATATTTGGGCATACCAGGGGTTGTGACACACATACATACATACATACATAGAGAGAGAGAGAGAGAGAGAGAGATGTACATACATATACATACATACATACATACACACATACACATACATACATACATACATACATACATACATACATACATACATACATATAGTACACACACACACACACACACACACACAGAGACACACATATTAGCTAAATTGTCTGAAATTATAACGGAAGATCAAGCCAATGTTGGAAATATGAAAAGAAGGGATTTATTTACATATGTTTATCCTGCTTTTATTATTTATACAA